AGCACACAGCAAAGCACACACGGAAAGAGGAGAAAGCTAGAATCATTCACTCGGCACTTCTGGAAGAAATGCGCAGAATGTCAGATCTGGAAACTCAACCAACTAACACAATAGCACAAGCAACATCACCAGAAAACAAAGACAGTGCCTCACCATACCCCGAGCTCACTCACACTATGTTACCGGTTAAGACTGGAAGGGGATGAGGGACCAGTTTACTTACTCCTGGTTTTCAATGCTAATTTTAAGCCTTTTTGAAAATTCCTGTCCTTTAAGTTAGGAGGAAACATAAAGGATTATTTGTTTTGTGATCATTATTCTGCTTCCAGTTACAGCAGGTACAGTAGATAAAAGCAACACAAGTTTCACTCATCTCAGCTCTCTCACTGGCAGTTACCTAAAGAATTAACATGCTGAATAAAAACAGGCACAATCCACAGGACATGACAATACATTTGAACAGTTCTGAGCCATGTCAGGCATCCTGCAGAGCAAACATTTCTATCAAAAGTCTGCGGAGAGATCAGTGAGCTGGATTTGTACACCCACAGGTGCTAAAGGGAACTTACCATATGAAGTATTCCCAGAGGAAAACAACCTTCCTGGTCGTACAAATGACAGTCCAGGGCCCCTGAACACATCTTTTCGGGAACAGAGCAGAGGAGCAAGGCGGGACTTGCTTACCAGCAGGCAGTGACAGTAACTCCTCAGAGTTCCACCTTTCCATCACTAGGTAGTACAAGCCTGGACACACAGGCATGACTTGAAGTACACTGAAAACCTTACCACTGGCTGAGAGAGTAACCCCCTAACCTGAGCAGAGCCACTGCTGCAACACAGCTCCAGGTGGGAGCACATCTGGCCTGCTGTCAGCCCAGGCCTAGATGCAGGCTGGCCACCAAATGGTTGGTCTAAAAGGAAAAAAGGAGCACCACAGCAAGAAGCTGAACAAGGATTGTGGTAATTTTACACATTTCACTTCATCTTTATATACCTCCCCCCCCCCTCACCCTCCCCCTTTCCTTACTCTGATTTTGCAAACCCCAAATTCTGTTTTGCAACACAGATCTGCCTGCTGCCTTCCTCTAACCAATTTAAGTCCTAAAGAGGCCATAGCATCCTTTCCATCAACACTGAACATGAACTCCAAATGGACTCCAACATTTCATCCATAGGGGACTTTTTCAGCCTCTGAAGGCTACACCAGAGGACATTAACATCTATTTAACTTTATCACAATTGTTCATTTTTGTTGCAGTGAAACACTAACAAAAGCATATCCTCTGTCACAGAAATGAAGTGAGCAACTTGGTACCATTTGGCCAGAACTGAATACAGAATGAATAAAAGAGTCAGATCTACTGTTTACCTATGGTAGGCTAACGACAGAACCATACAGATGTGTGCATAATCACAATATCATTCTTTATTTGCTCGTATTATACTGGCTCAATAATTTCCTGCTAGCATGCTCTTAAGCATATTAAAGGAGAATGTGCAAGCAAACAAAACAGAATACAATGTTGTTATACAGTATTTAAGACCACTATCAATCAAATTTATTAGCGGTGACACATTGCAAGCAAATACACAATGGATTCTAATTTACTCATTTTATTCACTGAAGCTCTGCCTACAATTATCCAGGTTAAATCTGAGCAATTTTAAAAACTATGTTATTTTTTGCTCCAGTGCTCTTCCTTCCTTTGCCAGCTCTGTCATAGAGCTCAGAGTAACTGAAACCACTATATTCATTAAATCCAAAGAGAACAGAGTCAAATCTTTGGCATAAAGTCCTCATGCAATTCCCATCACAATAGATAAAATCCTGTTCAGTGAACACCATAAAGCACAGAACCTGGTAAAGAATTAATGCTCAGAAAGGCAGAAGAAGCAAACAACAACATTTGTTCTCCAAAGAAAAACAAAACAGAACACCAGAAAAACAACAACCATAATACTAGGTGGTTTACTTAGAAGGTAGTAGTACTGAGTCACATTTAAAATAAATGTTTTCAGGAACCGTAGTGGAAAACTCTCTGCTCTTCAAACTGTAGCTACCTTTTTTTTTTTTTTTTTTTTTTTTTTTTTTTTAAATTTTGATTTGTGCTTTCCATATGCTCACTAGACTAGGTTTCTCCTCTGAAGAAGTGTCCAAGAACAAACCAAGACATAACAGTTCCATACATCTGGAATTAAACACAAGCCATGTTTTCCACCCTGCTATGCTCCCCATCAACTGACATCTGTCCCTCCACAGCTGTAAGCAAATTTTGTCCTGTTGCAAAGGTACCCTGTATTGTCTTCACTATCTCAATGGCTAGAACCACACCCGGAGATGCACAGCCGTAAGCAGCCAAAGGAACACCACGTGGCCAAGAAAACACATGATTTACTGCACCACTAGCCTGCTGCAAGGTCAGTCCCTGCACCTCGATAACCAGAAGACACACTGCATGGTCTGAGACCTACCTTTGTGGAAGATGAACCTGAAAACACATATCCTGACGGATCCCAAAAGTTGATATGGAACTTAAAATGGCTTGTAAGATCCAAAGTAGTACTATTACAGTAAATGGTTTGACAAGTGCACTGCCCATTGCCACTGAGTGGTTCTCAAGTGGCTGAACAGCTTCTGGAGCTCAGGCTCACAAATCCCTAAGTGCAGCTAAAGGGGTTAAAACAGCACAGCTTAACAGAGCAGTTAGAATATACTCCCATCAGCCCTGCAAACCTTCAGTGGCCCATGAACAAGAGATAAGAATCAAATGCCCAAAAGCATTTAGGAAGAAGCCCAAGCTGGGGTACCTGCAACCTCACTTGCTCACTGCAAGCAATGTATAAACAATACTGTTCACCGTCACTTTGTAGAAAGGAGTTCTTAAAAGGGATACAATTGTTCCCTTGGAAGATATTTTCAAGGATCATTCAGTCCAGCTGTCTGACCACTTGAGGGCTAGCCAAAAGTTACAGCACACTCAGGAGGGCACCGTCCATGCACCTCTCATACACTGAGGGCCACAGACTCTGGACAAAACGAAGTTTCAGTATGCACAGTACAAAGGAAATAAACCCCTTCTGCTATCTCTATCCACAGCTGGATTTTTCTCTAGCAAAAAAATAAATATTCTTCGTTCATAGTGGACTCCAGAGTTAGTTAGAAAAGAGATATTTGTTCTGCTCCTCTAACTGATCTCCAAGCTTGCAAGTACAAAAGAGATGGTTGCACAGAAACCACAGAGGCCATCTTTGAGTGTATATCCTGTTGATGATGAAAAGATTTTATGAGTGAAAACAAGAGTCTACATATTCCTCTATACAACAGCTTTTAAATGAGAGAATAGATGGATTCTTCCTGGCTTTCAGCAGTACAGAAGGAATTCTCTCTCACCCCACGCTCTCTTCTTCCCGTCTCCTGAACCTGTACAGACATTAAAGGTCTTCTATTTCTCAAACTGGCACAGAGCTGCTCCCTCTCTTCTTGCCACACTCTTTCATTTCTTGAGAAACAACTCTCAGACATTTCCTATACTTCTGGCATGGTTAAAAAAAGCTTTGTTAACCAGAGGGTGAAACCTTCAGATAGCTTATAATGCCACAGGGTAACACTTTTGAGTTTTAGCCTGAATCCTCAGGATGCAGTTTCCATAAACAGATTTCTTGGCATCGCTAAGAGCATCTGCTACTTTTCTGCACTGCAACCCAACATCCCACCACACTTCAGTTCTGCAGTCCTGAACACGGAATAGAGTGCAGTGAAGGCAGCACAGGAGATAGTTTGTATTTCTCCTCATTTTAACACTGTGGTGACTCAGTACAAGAGGGGACAGGTGACCTCTGCCAAAAGATTGGACAAAAAAAAAAAAAAAAAAAAAAAAGTGAGCTAGTTCCATTCCTCCAAAGCCTCTGTAGCACAGAGACCTCACAGACGTAAACAGTATTTACAGCATCACTGCCTTCTTCAGTAAATACAAAGTCACTCGATGCCTTCATGTTAAGTCTCACAGTTACTCAGACAAGTGTATAAAGCATTGCTTTTCTGTTACTATAATCCTAGTCATTCATCATCTCTAGGTTTCCTCCAAGATTACTGAATCTAAGCATGAGACACAAAAAGGAAAGAGGAACAGACCAAGACAAGCAGAATTAAATTCTCCAGCCTCCACTCAGCATTACAGGTGTCACATGAAGTTCTGAATGCTAACACATTTGGCATCAAAGAAAAAATTGCTCTAACATTATCACTAGCTACAGTTATACAATATATAAAATAAATACAAGAACACAGAGAGACAAACTGCTTTCTCTCCGGTTTAACTAGAAACTCCCAAGGCAGCTTTAAACAAGATAGCCCTTGTAAAGCTGGCAAAACAGCTGCTGCAGCACGGCCCTTGGCTCAGCCTTGTCATCAGAAGCATGGCCATGCCATAGCACATGATGATTTTACTCTGGAAAATGATTAAGTTCAAATATGTGAGTCTGAGAGACTCTGGATGGAGCTTCACAAAAACAATACAGGTACAAACATCTACCTACACGCATCAATGCTGCTCATATTCTTTATTTGAATTTCTTTGTTTAGCTTTTATGGTCTAAGAACAAAAAAGATGATGTTACAGAAGAAGATGAAGATTAACCAGTTGTAAGTAAAGGAACAGAAACACTTGAGAATGCACAGAGATCCAAAGAAAAATAATTTTTAAAAGCAAATATAATAGTTTTTAGAATAAAAAAATAGATATTCATTATATTCTTGTATGGAATAAAATTATTTAGCAGCATCGGTTCTTCATAGAAAACATACTGGAGAGAAGTGCAAAGTATGATGTCAGCATCCAAGCATGAGTACACTGAAGAGCATAAGCAAAAGAAGGTCCAGGACCCACGGAGACTGCTAATTTTCCCTTGTGAAATCCATAACTGTATGCACACAAGCTGCAGTTTATTTGAACAGAATGGCTTGAGCATGATCTGAAATTCCAAAATATTCCTAGTCAGAATAAAGGTTGGTCTAAACCTAGAAGCTGTCTCCAACGGATGCCATAAACAGGACGAAGAGCACAAAATAACATGCAGTAAAGAATCCCTAAAAATGTTGATTTAGCTTCCAGCACCTCACAACTGTATTTAGTTTTACCCTGACAGACTTGAATTCCATTTTTTCCTCCCATCTCTTTACATCCATATGATCTTTTAGCATTCACAAATTCTACTGCAAGGATTTTCTCAGCCTTCTCACACATTTTATGGTCAGTCTCCTCCACTGTCATACACTGTATATCTGATGCACCTGGTTCCAAAATTGGAAGAGACAGTGAACAGTAACTCTTTGCTTTCTTTATGCCACCCATAAGTCTTGGACAAACACTCCATCAGCCATTTGTTTTCCATGCTGAAGATTCATGTTCTGAATATACTTCCTTTATCTTTAAATACTTTACTCCCCAGGCTTTTGGGGCAATATCTTTTTTCCACAACAAAGAAGAAATCAGTTTCCTTGAAGAGGCAGTATAAATGTCAAACCTTGAACTTCGTGGCAAATGGCTGTGACCGTTCTTCTGTGTAGTGAAAATAAACAGCCTGGTTTCTAAAAGAGATATTCAAAGTTACCCCAGTTGACTGGGAGCTGATAATAGATAGGGAACACACTTGAGACTTTTTTCCACATACTGAGTTTATTCTTGGCTACCCACCCAGTTTATCTTTACATTAGAACCTGGACTTTAAAGTTTGCATTATGTATGAGATTCCAGATAAACTTACAGCATTAATTATTCCACAGAAAAGAAAACCCAGCATTAAGAATTCAATGCATTGTTTACATAATAATAATAATAATTACAATCCCTTTCTTCCAGTAAGTTTGGGCATGACAACTGCATCACTTTGCCACTTTGACTCCTCACTCTTAAGGTACAGCTTCACAAGTATGCTCCTATTAATTGCAACAAATACGAAAACTCATTTTATCACATGAACTTTTGACTGGGATCCATTACAGAGTCCTTCTGCCTCTCCCACCGCATCTAGAATATCATGGTTTCAAAGTTCAGGGTGCTTTGTAAAAGCAATTTATTTGCTGAGGGCAAGCCTAGGGTATTAAGCTTCTCAATTTACCATGAGACATCTTCCAGAACTCCGTTAGTCTGAGAGGGTTAACAGAAATTAACACAGAGGGCTTTTGGTGTCGTCAGCAACAAACACATTCATGTACACCTGAGTACTAAGGTGTTGAACAAGGAGTTGATTATGGCACTGCATTAATGATTGTGCTGTAAGATTGTGCTTTTGTGCTAAGTAATGCACAAATCAACCCTGCCATTCCTCTAGAAGCTTATAATTTAAGTATTAAAGAGGATGTAAAATTGGATAAGAGGATGGAATGAGCATTGGTGAAGGTCAGTAAAATGATCAGAGACAAAACAGACTCACAGCCTGTTTTAGCAGCCTCATAACTAACATTTAAAAGCCCATCTTGCACAAATGTCCAGGGCACGAAATATCCAGGGAGGAGAGAAGAAGCCCTTCCTACTATTAGACTCAGGAAGAAGGGAATAGAAGAGAGGCCCCGTGACCTGCTGTGGAAGCAGTCCCGGCAATCTGGCTTACTGGACCTGTCAGGACAAATATTTAGCAGCAGAAAATGATTAAAAGGAAGATCAAGGTAAACCAAATGGCATCAGAAGCGAAAGGCACACCAAAGAGCAGAGAGACAAGTTGGGCTATGAGCAGATATGAGCAGTGACCAGAAAAAAAGCCATTAAATTAAAAAAAGAGCAAAAAAGCTAAGCTAGGAAAATAAGCTAAATAAGGGCAATAATAATAATAAGGCAATGCCACATAGAGATAAATTCCAGGAATTGCTATGATCTTGCAAATACCCCAACTTTGTTCTGGCAGAGAGAAAAGGTCAGCTAAGTTTCAAGGAGCAGAGATGCAGCTCTCTGAATACAGAGTACCCTGATAGGCTGTCTCCTCCTTCACTGCAATGCTCCACCTGGTCAATCTGCAGTCATGGCCACCATTCATCAAGACAGAGCAAAGACTGCTTATCCAACAGCCTCATCTAGGCTGCACTCCTTTATTAATAGCAATGAAGTCACTAGTAAAGCCCTCAGTTGAGCAATGTCTCAACATGCGTTGCAGCCTACTGAAATAGTTTACTGTTACAGAACGGAAGTCACAGAGACCTCAGAAGCACACCTATCCCACAGCTCCACTGAAAGGAGCTGACTCAGTACATTCATACCTACACAACACGTTCATCTGCAGCTAAGCTGCTTTCCCAATGATAAGCACGCTCATAAAAAACACCATGATAAAAAAAATCCACATGAAAAACCTGTCCATCACCTTTGCCACTTTCTTCCACTCAATTCCTTTGGCCCGGTTTGCTTTATGGTCTCGAACACAATTAGCAATATACTCAATATTTTTAATCAGCATTTTGTAACAGGAACAGCAATTAACATTCTCCCTATCATTTTCACCATGAACTCCAAAGCTTTTATTCAGATTTCCATTCAGATTTTCCTTGAGATCACTATCATCATTTCCATTGGAAAGGTGACTCTTTCCATCTGCCCCCCGACACATGTCACCGCCCTCTAACCTGTGTTCTTGTTCTTTCTCTCTTCGTGGACTTGTACAATTTTCACCCACATCATAAACAAAAAAAATTTTTGACATATAGTCCAAGATTACCACTCTGGCCCACTGTGGAACAGGCTTTGCTTCTGAGCCACAGTGATGTACATTCATTATAATGATTGTCAGCGCAGTGGAGGCTGTGATCATGGTCATAGTTGCTATGTAATACTTGCCTGGAACACAAAATAAACTTATATTAAAGATGCTATCCACATTAAAAAAAAAAAATCATTGCAGAAATAGCAGAGTGACAAAGGGGTTGGAAAGGAAAGGGGGGGAAACTGAGAGAAAGCAGATCAAGGCTAGGTCCTGTCTGCTTAGATAGATGGGTAAGGAAGGTACTCAAACACAGCAAGTCATAATGTGAGTGGGAATTAATTCTGGTGAGAAAGTTAGCATAACTAAAAATAACTACTAAGTAAATGTAAAGAGCTTCAGTTTAACTGTACAAATACCATGCATACGTCAAGTATTTCACTAGATTATTATTTTTTTCTTAACAAATGCAGCCAACATTTATCTTCCCAAAAGCCATACATGACACAGTCAATCCGACATTATAGCCCTGATTTCAATAAGCCATGCTTAAGGACAAAGCATGTAAAGCTCACCTATCAGAGGTACGTTTTCAGAGGGAGGCATAATCTCTGCAACCATCAGCTGGAACACAGTCAGAGCAAGAAGAACTGTAACACCTAGAGACACTTTTTCTCCAGAGTCTGCGGGGAGATAGAATCCCAGTGGAGCGAGGAAAGAGATCAAAATGCAAGGAAGAAGAAGATTAAATATGTAGAAAGATGATTTCCTTTTCAAAATCAGCGTAAACGTTACGTCTGGATAAGGCTCAGAGCAGCAGCCGTAAGTGATTACATTCTTAACCGCTGGCATACCATGAATCTCCCATTCCACGTCTTCTACAAAGTCAGAAAGGTCACCACTATCAAGAGAATTGATGATGTCTACCTGATTACCATTATAGGTCCAGGAACCAAATGTAAGGTTGCACTGCTGGCTGTCAAAAGGAAAATAAGATACATCCACTACACATGAGCTTTTTGTGATAGCAGGAGCATCCCAAGTGATTTTTCCATCATATCTCAACACAACATTAGTATTCACAGGTTCTGAAAAGTCATCATCAGCCCTAAAAGACAGAAAAGCAACAGTCAAGATTAACATGCAGCAATTCAGCGCATGGGTTGGGGAAAGCCAGGGGGAGATCCTGGCTTCACAGCATTAAAAGCATGCTTCTGAAAATGTGTCATTTATTCATATTGATTTTTACTAGAAACTTGCTATATTACTTACTACATTATTTACAAGTACCAGTCCCCATTAGTGCCAAACATCAGTGAAACTAAATTATACTGTATTTCTTGGCTACTGCTTCTTCAAACTTGACCTCAAACAGCGCACAGGGAAATACCAGATTCATTAAAAAATCTGCTGCTCATTACTGGCCAGGGAGAGCAGACAAGATATGGAGCCTTTGCCCTTCTGTAGGCACCATCTTCCAGAGCTCTTCAGCAGCCTCTGCAGAAAGCATTTAAGATTGACAATGTTCAAAACTCAGTGCAAACAAGAAATTCACCACAGCTCTGCTATGTAGCAGGATCAATTGCCAAACTACTTTATCTGTGGCTCTTGGGATGATTGATAATAAACATTAAGACAACAAAAATATTCCCCGCTAAGGTAAAATGAAGTTCAGGTTCCAGAGTCATTTCTTCTTCTACCCTCTCCCCCTTACACCCATTCAAGATGATTCTCTCTGGCCTCACTCACTTGTTATAGAGGACAATATCTGGCCTCCAGACCAAATTGCTTGGAATTCTGATAGAATCCAATCCATCATATTTATCCTTATCCCATCTGAGATATGCATCATACCAGCTTTGTCGAATCCATAAGTAAGCTGTTAAAATTTGATTCCTTTCATCCTGCATAAAAAATACAAAAATATTTCTTGTTCAAGGTGAAAAAAGTACATTCTAGATACTGACAGCATTTGTTGTACAGCTTTAAAGCAGTGCCCAAAGCAGGCCTCAATACTGACAGATACATACGTACATATAGTGTACTTATGGGGAGCTTCTCTAGTCGATCCTCTTCGACTCTCTTGTTCAAACCTTCCTCTCAAAAGGAGCTATTTTCCCTGCACCCTCCCCAGCTTTAAATACAGTTACCTAATGTTCTTGTATCTCTAAATGTTCCTTTTTCCAGGGTCAGAATAACAGCAGATTTAGCTTAAAACTCTCTGAAAGCTTGAGGTCTTGAAGTTGTAATTCACAAGTCAGAAGTGATTTTCCTTTTCCCTTCCAGACAAATTTTCTTTTGCCTTAGAAGTGTATCTGTTATACTAAGTTTATAAAAAGTTACTGGAAGCTAAAATAGGAGGTTTAAGGAGAAATTAATTGCTCCTTAGAAAAAAACACTCCCTCCTTCTATTTAGTAGCAAAAGTTGCCTGAAAGCTGGAATACAAACACTTAACTGATACTACAAAAAAAAAAAGTCTTAACAATTCAGCAGCTGTAAGTTTGTAGACACGTAATGGAAGTTGTACAACTGCAATCAGATAAGACTATTAAGAACTGCAGAACATGACCCTTGTGAGGAATCGTTACTGATGTTGCCACAGCAGTATGCAAGCTGCTTTCCTACTTCAAACAAGTAGCAGTTGGTACACTTCTGCACATTTTCAGAAAAACAGAACTGTATTTTTACTCACCATGTCTTTAATTTGGGACAATGTTATCTGAAGGGTAACATTCAGCACTTTATCTGTGTCTTCCACTGGTCTTAGAGCATTTGAATAGTCTTCAAACAGTTCATTGAACAGCATCTGAGCATATTTCCCTTTGGCTGATTCTACAGCTAGATAATAGATTTGTTCAGTATATCAGATTAAGCACTGAGCAATATCAGCAGCCATCCCCTTCCAATAGCTTCCAAATGCTAAATATAGCAGTTGCTATATTTATCATTCAAATACTGTAGAATATAATTTAGTGCAGAAACAGAGCAAACCTGATAAAGTTGTTCAAATAAAGACAACATTCACCTGTAGTAAATGAATAGCTAGCCCTAGCTTTTCACACCTACATGAAAAAAAAAAAAAAAAAAAATCTCTATCCAGAGATTCTTGCCATTTTTGAAAGTAAATATCATTACATTTATTTTACTCATCTCTTTCATAGGCATGGAGATTATTGATTTAGACACATCTGCGAAACTAAAATTACAAGCAAAGCTTGAAGCCACACCTGCTCCCAAGCTAATAACTTGTGACATCTCCCTAAACACAGCACTGATAGATTCATGATACTTTCAGAATTCACCTCATCCCCCCTGCACCCTTTTTCTTTTTAAGCAGTACTTGGAAATATTCCGAGCTGCTTTTCTTCACAATTTAACAATTACATGAAACATGAACACATCCCTGGACCAACACATTTCCCACAGCATATATTTGGAGGCATTTATTGCTATCCACATGCCATGGATAATACATCAAAACTTTAAACACTTTTGCTGTTCCGTACGACTTTATGCATTATAGTTTTTCAAGACAGGGTCTCTATTATCTTTAGATTCATGCATTTTTGCAAGCAAAGGACCAGGATAGGGACATTCACAAGGCTTGTACAAATGCCAGCTGGCATAAGGTAGGAAGCTAGCGTTCTGGAACGCATCGCTCTTTGGTGACTCACAGTTACTTCCTGGGCTAACCAGAGTTCAAAGAAAAACCTCTTGATTAAAAAGAAATCTTAACAAAAGTTTCATAAGGAGCATTTAGATCTATCTGGTTATACAGAATCCTTCATTTTCTCGATACATCTGGAAGATGAAGAATAAAAGCCAAAGAAAAACACACACATGAAGGGGACTTCTGGAGCTCAGCCAAGTACGACACATCAGGACACCAACTCCTATTGAGTAGAATAAAGTTCAGTGCAGTATTTAGCTACCAAGAAGTGTTTTCTCACCTTGAAGCATCGTGGCTGTGAACAGCAACCAGAGAGAGACATAAAAGGATGACAGGTTATTTCTCTTCATTTCTGGACCTTAAATAAAACTGTTCACCCAGAAGCATGACAATTTTTATCACTATCCAAAACTGTAACAAAAGATGAGTTACTATGGTACTGAAGTACAGCTACAAGCAACTCGGTCCTCCTGCAGCTGTCAGTTGTCCTGGAGAGATGGCCTCTGTTCCTGCAATGCCTGGGGCTCTGCTGAACCCTCCCTCTCTCTCCGTAACCTGAGAGCTGCCTCCTTGAATCTAATGCTGTGCAAGACAACAAACGGATGGGATATCAGTAGGAAAACTGTTTTCCATTGCTTCACTCCCTACAAACATACGATTATGTTTCTTCATAGATCAGACATTTTTCATTTCTCCAGCAGGTCAAGACTTAGTGACCTTACATTCAGGAATATCTTGCTCAAAACCAGTCCAGTGAAGCCTGTGAAACCCTCATCAAAACAAATAGATAAATTCAATAACCACAGATTCACTAAGGTCATCTAGTCCAACCATCCACCTGCTACTAATATTGCCCTCTAAACCATGTCCATTAAGTAATACATCTACCCTTTCCTTGAAAACCTCTAGGGACAGTGACTTCACCACTCCAAGCAACTTTTCCAGCACCTGGCCAGTCCTTCTAAGAATAAATTTTTCATAATGTCCAACCTGAACACCCTCCTGCTGCAACTTGAGGCCATTCCCTTTAGTCCTATGCCTAGTTATGCAGGAGAAGAGGCTGCTGCCCACCTTGCCAGAGTCTCCTTTCAGGCAGCTGTAGAGCAGTAGGATCTGCCCCGAACCTTCTCTTCTCCAGACTGAACAATCCCATTTCCTCAGCTGCTCCCCATAAGGGCCTGTGCTCCAGACCCCTCACCAACTTCATTGCTCTACTCTGAACACGCTCCAGGGTCTCAATGTCTTTCTCATAGTGAGGGGCCCAAAACTGCACACATTACTCAAGTTGCAGGCTCATCACAGCTGAGTAGAGGGAGATGATCACCTCTCTGTTCCTCTTGGCTACCCTATTTCTGATACAAGCCAGGATGCTGCTGGCCACCTGGGTACACTGCAGGACCATGTTCAGCTGAGCATCAACCAAAGCCCCCGGATCCTTTTGTTTCCCACACAGCTTTCCAGCCACTCTGCCACAAGCCTGTAGTATTGCACAGGGATAATAATATCCTCCTCAATATTTAGTTGGTGTGGTTACACCTGAACATTCCACATCCAATATGTCACACAGCAAAAACTACAACCTACCTACTTGTATACTAACAAAACAAAGTTTTGACCCATCAAAGTGATGCCATGGGGAAGAGATGTAGCTACACCAAGAACTACTGATAACAGAGGCAACGATTGCCAGGGGACATTGAGCACTTCTAGAACCAAGAGTCATATTTCTTCACCACAAGCTAAAGACAATCTTGTGAACTGCTGCACTAGAAATACAGACCTGCTGAGATGTGCAGACTGATGCTGTAATTAGTATATAACCCCATACATTAAAGAACCATGCTACTTTAGAACACTAGAAGGGCTGCTTCAAAAGCAATGCTGCCTGAGGTGGATGGTGGTGGTATGGCAGCAGAGGTTGAACCTTCCCACCAATACTCTGTTACTTTTAATTGCTGTATGGCAGCAGAGGGCACTCTGACAAAATGGCAACTGACACAGAAGTGAATACAAAGCAAAGGGTGTCTCTGAATTTCTCCACGCAAGAAAAGTAGCACCCCTTGACATTCTTCCATGCTTGCTGAACATTTACGAAGAGCAGACAATGGTTGTGAGCACAGAGAGCGTGGTGCATTTCAGCAGTGACAATAACAATGTGAAGGGCAAGCCACATTCCAGACAGCCATGCAGGTTTTTATGAGCACTGCACACAGACCCTTGTTCATCACTCGGTAAAAGCATACGGGCACTGGTGGTGACTGGCTTTTAAAAGGATGTTTTATAGTTCAGAATTTGCTCCATCAAATGGTGTTATTGCACTCTTTGCATCTACTGTATTTTCCATGGAAATAAAAAGGAGGCATTTCTTTCACAATAACCAATATGATATTTCCAAAGGAAACTAGATTCTCAAAATAAGTACACAAGAAGCATGCCTGTATATGTTGATTATTCAGTTTACTCCTACATGTGTATAAACTTCATATTACTCACTATAAATGCGTAACCAGTATATTCCTGTCAAATACATAGGAGCTGTTGCATACATTATATACAGACAGTGAGCACGCATATCATAGAATGCACTGAGTCACAGGAGACCTTCAAGACCATCTTCCACCCCCCAGCCAATGAGCAGGACTGCCACTCATCAGAGCAGTCTGCCTAGGGTCCCATCCAGCCTGGCTTGAGCACCTCCAGGGATGGAGCATCTACAGCTTCTCTGGGCAACCTCTGCCAGTGCCTCACCAGTCTCTGAATAAAAAGGATTCCCTTTAAGGCTGAACATAGGTCTGGTCTCTTCCCATTTAAAACCATTTCCCCTTTCTCCTATCACTATCAGACCCCATAAATTATTGGTCTCTCTCCCATTTATAAGCTCCCTGTAAGTACTGGAATGCCACAATGATGTCTCCCCAGAGCCCTCTCTTCTCCAGATTCAACAAGCCCAAGTCCCTCAGCCTCTCATAACAGGAGAGGTGCTTTAGCCCTTTGATCATCTTCATGGCCCCTCCTCTGAGCCCACTCCAACAGCTCCATGTCTTTCTTGTGCAGGTCCCTAGGCCTGGATGCAGTACTCCAGCTGGGGCTTCATGAGGGCAGCAGAATGGGACAGAATGGGACTCTGGCCCCCTCCTCTTCTGATGCAACCCAGGATCCAGTCAGCCTTCCAGGCTGCAAGTCCACACTAGTAAAACACGAAATACTTGTGATGCTTGAGATGCCACATTGACTACACAGTACTAACAAAAAAAATATAGAATACATCCAAAAGCCTTTTCAATATTAAAGACTTAATAACTTTAACAGTCTTAGCATGTCAGACCATTGGTCTCCTCTAGATTTTTTCCCCAATAAATCCGATTTGTGATTCTAAACCAAACATCCCTGAAGTAGACATTTGTGTGAAGGTGAGTATAAAGATTTGTTATTTAATGATCTGAGAGATTCATCTAGACACCCACACTTCCTTGGAATATAGTTTAAAATTGTGGCTTCATCTATAGTACTACTACTCCCAGATGAAATATTCCATTTAACAGTTGAACAGAGTATAAATTTGTCAAACAGTTCTGTTTTTCCAGCAACATGTTCTTCTATGAAGTCAGGAATATAAGTACAAAGCAGATTACACAGAGAATTTCAGAGTCACAGGTGTTTGCAAGTTAGATTCCAGTCATTAACTTCTCCTAAAACTAAACTTCGCGACTGGATGGAAACAAGCCATCCTGCAAGAGTGTATCAACCAGCAGATGGCCCTGTTAGCCAGCCCTCCAGTTTACCCAGACATTCAAGATGATTTTTGTTTATCTTGTTTTTAAGTACCTTCACTTTTTCATATACTTGGATTAATTTTGCTGATTATTTACCTTTTGTTTAATACAAGATGAACAAAGACAAGGCTTTCTTTCAAAGAAGGTAAGCAGAAAGAACAGAACTATTTAGTGGCTAACTGTGGCTCTGGGACTGCCTAAATTACATACATGAGGTTAATCACAGGAAGGTCTCAGGGAAGCAAATATAAATCACTGTCAAAAACTGTTACAGTATGAAACCATGCTTAGAGCACTGACTGCTTCTGGTGATGCAGAGAGAAATTAAGGCACAATATCCAGTTGCATTTCCTTATGATTTTATTCAAACATTTGACTTTGCTCTGTTCTTTTCATAGCCAGTACACACTTTGACACTGTGCTGGTGTTTACATTCAATGGGACAACATTGTATCACTCATTCCACAGTGCACTGAGCCTGAGTGATACTCTCATGACAAGCAACTTCACTGTTCCAGGCAAACACATAAGTTGCAGTGCAGAAACCTGCAAAATAGAAATGCAGCATAACACCATGCAAGGTAAGGTTAACTTTGCATACATTTTATGGAGAAACTGAAGGTAAGGAGGATCTCTTTGCATATTAAGTATCTAGAATCTGGAAGTTTTTATCTTGGACAAATTACAAAGCAGGAAAGTTTAAAAACTTTTTTTTTTGTTAAACTGAAACAAATTGTAAAATCATTCCTGCCTCAAATAATCCTTTACCCCTGAGGCTAAGATTTTGACTTTTTTTTCTTAAACATTCTCATCCTTTCTTGCATGATACACAAGAAGAGTTTTTAGACCTCCAACTGAAAAAGCAACAGATACTGTATTATCACAGACCTCAAGGCCGTCTGTACCATTTATAATCCACTCCTTCATCAGAGAACAATAAAGAAGAACAGATTGGTTTCTAAGCACAGTTTGTAAGAAGCGTCTCACAGTCTGCTTCTACTTGCCTTCCTGCCAATTTTTCTTCCCAGAAGCTGTTGTGCTCACATTCTCCTCAGCATTTGCTGCAGAATATTATCTTGTGATAGGGTCAAACAGCACACTATCCTCAGAGTCAAGCTTCTCTTCTACTAAGACTGGTTATTCTAAGGAGGAATGACAACAGCTATTCCTGCCAGCAGAACAGCCTAGCTGTGCCTGCCCCAGACAAGCAGAATACTGCACTTCACTTAAATGCAGCATGTTTCTCTCCGCCCCATTTTCTCACCCACCTACTGCCTCCTCCTTCCTTCTCTCTAAAAATCCCCTACCACCTGAAACCAGCACACTCATTCATATTTTCTTCTTCTGTAGTACGTGCAAAAGACAGGAAATACATAGAAGCGTTCAGCATGTTAGGTCATGAGATAATGTGGAATATTAGCTATATTTTCCAGAAACAGTAAATCCTGTTAAATGTTAGTCATGAGCTCTGAAAATAAATTTTATTTTGGCCCACTTACATATACAGTTCTACTGATCATCTTGCAGCATTTGAAGAGGAACCTTTTCTCCTAAAAAGCCTTGTACTGTTTAATATGATCTAAGATGCAGCACATTCATCCTTTTCCACTAGGACATGCTGCCTAGGATTTTATCCGTCCTTGAGAAACAAGTATCTGGCAGGGTTAAGAACAAAGCTATTTTATAGCTTGAGCTGTCAAAAAGCTATTTTATATACAGCTCTTTATCACTGGGATCATTTCCAGCTTTGCATCATGCCTCTGAGTGACTGATCACAGGATCTACACTTTGCAGAAAGACAACCTCTGGGCCTAAACACTGTTCCAAATCACAGATTTGCTCTGACAAGCAGCCTCATGCTCTAAACCAAACTGGATTACTACAGAAATTTTTACCCTGATACAAGGATCTATACAGAAAGACTCAATTTTTTTCCTGCCTGAACACTCTTGAGCCATGGAAGACACACTACCTCAGCTTTCCAAAGCAGCAGGGAGTTCCCAGCAACTGGTACAGGCTGAAGACAAATCTAGGTTCCCCAGAAGGAGATTCCTTCAGATTGAAGTGGACAGCATAAAAACAGCAAACTGCTGTCTGAAGAAACAGGACTAAAGGGTGAGTAACATTAGTTCTGAGATAGTATCTGAAGTTTCATTTCTACAATTCAGAAGGTGCAGAGGGACCAGACATAACATCTTTAAAGGGATATCAGATCTCATCACATACAAAAGGCAATGTGCATAGAGAATCTAGCATCCTCTGAAAACGCCTGCTTTCCTCATAAGTTCACATCTGACTTGCTTCACAAAATCAGTTACATCCAAACATTTGTGTCCTTATCTGAGTTCCCCACAAAGACTAATATTGTGTACTAATACAGAGCAGCCGGCTGTAAAGGCAGCATGCCAAAAGATAAAGACAAGGAACAATTCCAGACCATAATGTATCAATCTAAAGTAACTGCTTTCAAAGGACTCACAGAACTCTAATTGCAAGATGCCTGCCACAGCAATATTCATACTGCTACTTAGCTAGTGTCATATACAATTTTGCTTTCATTATAATACATATCTCCTAAAGAGAGACACTAAGTAGACATTTACGTGACAAACTGTCATTACCTTATTGTTTCTGCTCCATCAAATCATACAAAACAGCCCACCCAGGGAATTTCTCCACATTCTCAGAATTTAGAGCAACAAAAGTGCTTCACTCAAAGTATAAAATATTCTCCTTGATAAACCCACTCCAAGAGTGGTTTTCTAAGCCCATAAAACTAATTTCCAAGCCCACACTTACTGCAAAGCTGCCTGTTTTAAAATATATGTATACATATATCATAGCAACTTCTTAACCATCCCAAAATAAAAACATTATGTATGCCTGACAAACCTCATCATAGCATAAGCCAGCTAACTACTCATCTCTGAGGGAAAATAACTTTTTGTAAGTTTTAGCTGTTAAAGCATCTTACATGGTACATGGGTACTCGCATTCTTTAGACTTCCCGTCCCCAGGCTGCATCTGAGGGTAGGAAAAAAAATCTGTTGGCTCTTTCCCTCTTGATGACTACTCTGAAAATTAAGTCCTGACAGTAAGAATGCTGGCAGAAATCCAGCGCAACTCTGCCTTCAAATTATTCTGAATTTACACTCATAATGTGATCGTGAAAGATCTCTTCAAGATTTCTCCTGAAAACGTTAAAAAAAAAAAATAATAGAAGTACCCAGAGAACAGAGACACAGATCTCCCAGCCACACTTATATAGCTGGGGATTCTGTATTACTAAGCCATTGGTATTACAAATCAGGTTGATCTCAAAAAAGTTCTGGCTTCACTCAACAGCAAGGCACCTGCAGCTTCTCATAACAGAATGACGGTAACTGGAGGCACTCCTTTTCCTTGAGGATTCTTGCAGTTCTCACATAATAGAATCTGACCAAGCTGCATCAACAAGAATACATTGCCATATGTGGTGTTGCTTGGTCATGCTTGGCTCAGGTTGCCCAGAATGCTGGCTCAAAACCAGATGCCCATGACAGCACTCCATCAAGCACACCAGGCCTAGACGCCACAGCCCGTGAGTGAAACAACAGAAAAGGCAGCAATTAGAGCAGAGGATCATCACATTTCTTGCACCTCTCACTCCCTAGTCCCAGCTAGTGGTGTACTAGTCAGAGAGGTGGTACAGGCAGCAGATTCCCAGGCAAACCAGTTTTAGGCTTCACTTATTTTCTCAGCTTTTTACTGGTTTAAGAATAACTGTATGCAATCCCAGCAAAGCACTTTCTAGTATGAACACAGCTACTTTACCCAACGCAGCTAAAAAATTTCCCTTTGAGAGAACTGCAGTAAACACACAGTTTTACTCAAAGCCTGTAACTGTGTTCATTCTGGCACAACAGTCATTTAGACCTTGGGGACAAAGCATCACAAGGAGCTGAAGATAGTATCTCTTAAGATCTGATGAACACGGTGGCTCCAGGACAAGTTTGAGAGGCTGTATTCATACCTTTGGCTTTCATCTACAAAGTTCTAAATGATAGTGTAAAGCCAAGGTGGTGTTTCACCCAACACTAGATGCACTGAAATGAATGCTCACTACTACTTTAGTTGACTGTGCTGAAAAACATTATCTTGCCCATAAATCAAAGAATCTGCTATCTAGAAATGCTAACCAACAACACTAATCTGAGTCTTAGAGGCTTAACAGCCTATTCTGTAGCTCTGCAAAAGGAGATATGAGGTTATAAAAACAGTTGAGATAAAACAAATGTGTGGTCTAACATCAAAAAGTTATAACCATGCATTATACCTGGTTGGTTTGCATGCTTTGGAAAACTTTTGTTGCTTGCCTGCCAACAACTGGCAGGGGACTTTGCCAGAGGTATTGTTGCCAAGTGCTCAGCTGCCTTGCAGCTTGATGAAGGGGTGTTCTACTCTGAGACAGAATCTAAAACAGAATCGATATGTTATAGAAGAAGCATGAGGGATTAATACAGGCAGCTAGTTGAGCTGCAGTGGACAGACA